CGGAGGCTTGCGAGGCACCTTCGGGCGAGATACGACGACGCTCGGACGGATTTAGCGCGATCGGCCAAGCGTTTAAATCTGCCACGCTGTAAGGGCCCGTGTTCATCTTATACAGGCTGCTCCAGAAGCGGGACACTTAATATATTCCTCCGCCTTGAAGATACGAGGAGATGACTGTGATGAGATTTATATAGCCTCGAAGGAACGAGCGCGACACAGCGGAATCTCGGTGCTGATGTGCTCCTCGAATTTATTAAATGGGTTTCCACACTTGGTTTTCGCTATAATAATTAGTAGAGGGGAAATTCCCCTGTTATGCGATAGGCTTCTAATATGAGACAGCGGGTTTTCAATATCCAAATTCAATCGCCAATCTTTTTTTCACACCGATTACACGATTTAACAATGAATTCTCTACTAAGCAGATTTCACCCCAGGAGCAATGAATTTATGATGGAACCGACAGAAGATGCTTATTAAGGGGATCCTAAAGCCGCTGGCAAACTCGATCAGTGTCGATAAGATAGGAGACGGAATTAAAAACGTCAATTATCGACATTTTTAATTCCAAGCTCTACTTTAGATGTCACCTCAGACCGGGGTTTTCTAGAGTTCCTATAAGTAGAGCTATGCCAATATCGTTTCCCGATTGTGATTGGCTCCGCCATTTTCCGTTAAACTTCCGTTCCGATGCAGCTTAGCACATCTAATCATTATACTCGTATGTATACGTTCTGTGGTTATCGCATTAACGCATAAGGGTCGGAGCGCAAAGCAACGTAATAGCTTACGACAGAGACGCAAGCGTAAACGTAGATAGCACACAAGCTTTGGCGTATGTCGTACTTACCTCCAATTACATGTGACGTTACTTTTACTCCAAAGCTTGCGCGCTATCTACGTTTACGCTTGCGTCTTCGTCGTAAGCTATTACGTTGCTTTGTGCTCTGTCCCTAAGTCAGCATGATATAAAATCAGTATTTTGTGTTTTCCACATACACTGTTGTCATTGCTCTCTTTAATTATCCTAATTGGATTAGGGTAGACATGAGGTTATACTTTAGGAAGGTTTTTTTGTATTAAAGCAAACCATACTTATCAAGTTTACTGTAGAAATTCTCATTTTCTTCCTTCCCTTGTTGTTAAAAGTATGATTTACCTAATAATTTTTATTATTTTCGCTATTAACTTTAAAAAATGTAACTTGTGTATTAAATTATATCATGGCTTCAGATGTTTGACAGCGACCTAGAAAAAGCCTGTAACTATTTCTACGCGTTATACTGCTCTTTTTCTCTTCTTCTAGACGTGGATTTCTTGCGTTTATTAGAAGTAATCTTTGTTTCTATGCTATTAATCTTAGTTCTAATTGCACGATATTGTTCCTATATGTTGTCCCTAGAGTATGCTGGTCTCATTTTGTATACATTTATTGTAAATTTCTTGTATCAAGTAAATATTGTCAAGTGTACCAAAAATTAATAAAAATTTTAATTTTTTTTCGTCTTTTATATAAAGTCGACCAGCATAGTCTAGATTTTGCTGTGTACTTCGACTCCGTAAAAGAGTTTTGCATTTCCACAAAGCCAATTAAAAGCTTACTTCTAACAAAGAATGTCGGTAAAACAGACGGCTTTAGGATCCCCTTAATTTAGCAGAAACTCCGCTATATCTCATATTAGGATCTCATAAAGGGACTTTCCTCTAATGTAAAAATAATGAACCGGGTGCGGCGTCGAAAGGCAGGCCGTTCTCGCGTTCGATTTCTCTTGTTTCCGGGGCGCCGAAGAATACCGGCGTTTCTCGTTTTGCGGGGCTACGTAAGGTGATTAAACCGAGAAGATGGTAATCTCGCGCGAACAAACTTAATGAACAAATTGAATGAACAAAACGACACAGAAAGTACGGACCGAAAAGCCCCCCCGGGTGCGCTCTGTTTAATGAATTCGGATCGTATACATATAGAGACGTGACAGCGCGGATAAGCGCGTGGCCGCGGCGCGAATACGTACGAGGGAAACCCGGCGCTGTTTCGCGTCGTCGTGTCGCAGATGAGAGTGTCCCGGTACCAGGCCCGACGTCCGGTGTATAAAACGGAGTTTCGTACTCCTAATTTAGTGCAGGTGTTACCCCGGAGGATCCGACGCGCGCAGTCCTCTCCTGCGAGATGTCCCGGAGGACATTGGATTTACGTCGCGGTCTCTCCGCAGCTCTTCCTTCGTTCTCTCTTTCTCTCGCTCTCGCACGCTCGTACGCCCGCTCGCGCTCTCTCTCCCGGGCGGAAATTGCTTCGTGAGAGGACCGATTATTGCGCCGAAGAACGACGGGGAACGGCGGGGAACGGCGGAGCCCCGAGACAGAGGAGAATTTCGTAACCGGTCTGCTCTCTCATCAGTCTACCCGGCGGCTCTTCCGCCGGACGGATGGACAGATCGCCCGACCAGTCTCGTAATAGAGCGCTCGTCGCGATGAGTCACATGCTTCGTTACTGGTTCCGCGCGAAGGGCCGCTCTAGGAAACGAATCTATCTATAGAATTGGGCGGGACACGGGGAGCGTTTTTCTTACGAAACTGGGACGCTCGAGATTTATAGGAGGTGATACGCGATTAAAAGAAGTAATTGAGAAACGCGTGCTGGCTGTCAGACGCTTCGGCGAACGCGCAGATTTTATCTTATCACTGAAATTCACGCGAACGGTGAGGAAACTTTCGAGTATACGCATTGTTCTCCGAGTTTAATTATAAATTTATCTGGCCTCGGCGACGCATGCTTTGACCACGCGGAGAGAATTTTGTCTTAAAATTATGTAAACATGGGTTAACTTGGTGTTGTAAAGAAATTTATGCGAGTTTTTGTTTTTAATTTGACCATACATTTTACTAGTCAAATTGCAAAAAACTTTCATAAAACTCTTCAAATTGACTCATAATTTTCGGGGTAAATTTTAAGAGAAAATTCTTTTTTTTCGTGTACTAATAAAGTATTTCAAGAGGGAGAGACTGATGTAGCAAAATATGCAAATATTTTCTGAATATGAAATATTTTCATTTACTTACAACAAACAAGGTTTCAACCAAAGATTGTTTACAAGCGTGCAATATCAGGTAACCGTGGGACAACATGGCATTTCGAAGAACTTTATGAGTTTTTTTAAATTTGACCATACATTTTACTGGCAAAATTTCAAAAAACTTTCATAAAACATGGCATTTCGAAGAACTTTATGAGTTGTTTTAAAGACCGTACATTTGACTGGTCAATTTTCAAGAAACCTTCATAAAATTCTTCGAAGTGCCACGTTGTCCCACGATTACATAATCTTCGGAATAAATTAAGAGAAAATTCTCTCCGTGTTACCTACAGAAGGATGTTTTGTCTCGCTCACATGTGTCGTTGAGATTTTGAAAAGCAACTGCTAAAAAAATGCTGTATTTATCACTTTGACACGACCGCGGCATCTAAATTTGAAAATGGTGAAAATTATGCGGATTCCAATCTCCGTTCGCGCGAGCTCTCACAGCGCGGCGACGCGAGTACGAGGGCCGGAATCTCGGATTTGCGACGTCGTCTCGGATGCGGGGACACTCGGTTTTACGACCTCGAGGCTCCTCTTCCTCCCTCTCTCTCTCTTCCGGTCAGCACAGCCGACTGCCCAGATCGTACGTGCGATATTCGCGCATGAAAGTCCAGGATTTTCGCAGGACGAGGAGAAACGCGCGCGATAAGACAACGGCTGCAGTAAGCGAGAAAAAGGGGTACGGCCGTACGAAAAGTCGTACCGGCGGAGGGAATCTAGGAAGGCTATCGCATTACGCGAAGGAATACCTCCTGGACTTGTTCCTAATGCACTTTTCCCTCGCCTTTTTCCACTTTCCGGCTAACAATCGACGGCGCGAGCCGGCCGGGAAAGTGTATCTCCACGCGTTTCCCCCAAATAATCGAGCCGGAATATTAATTTATGCGCGTACGCGTAAAGCTCGGTTATAGCCGCGGAATTCGAGCACGTATAGATATTTATCGCGACACGCGGAAAGAGAAAATGAGAGCGCAATTTGTATATTAATAAATGTCTCGACGGGAACGGGAGCGAGAGAGGGGGGGGGATTGAAATTTTGAATGCATAGTAAAATCGCTTTCATTACGAGAGAATAGTAATAAATCGAGTCAGCGATATGTTGATGCCGCGATTTGATTTGTTGATAGCTCAGTATCGGTGTTAATTTAACCATGAATTAATCAGAATTCGTATTAACTCGTTTATTCGCTGAAATTACCGGTGGTGGCCTTTCAATATTCGGATATTGCTAAATCCGTTGCGACAACATAGCCCCTCTCCCGCCCCCCCTCCCCCTCCTCCGCGGCGATATTTATAATATTTTGTAATTAATAAAATTTTCATATTTACGAGATTATTATCCCCGTATATATTTTTCTTCGTATTATCGAGATGTGATTATCATAAAGATAAAATTTTAAATGCAACGGCACAACGGCTTTACATAATTCATCAGGCAATCTTTCCTACTGCTTTACATTTTTTCTTTTTTATTTCAGCATTAATCTCTGTCAGTCTTAACGCGCGTTACGTGTTGATGGAATTCCGCAAAGAATACTCCACGGTCAAATTTACATACGCATTTATTTTACGTCGCGCGTATTGTCGAACGATCGCGATTCCCGCGATTCCAACATTTCGACCGAGGGGGGAAACCGCTGAGGGCATTGTGGTGCACAGATTTGCGGCATTACTGGGCATTTTTGGGCATTGGGCCTCGCTGATTATTAAGATAAAATATGATAAAACAAGATGAAACAGAATAAAAAAATACGGTAAAATAAGATAAAACAAGATAAAACAAGATAATAAGATAAAGCAATGCCCACTGGGCATTAATGGGCACTGGTGCGCGAGATTTTGGCCAGCGGTTTCTCCCTTGGCTTCGACGACACGTCGAATCGTTCGATTGCTATAATTTAATCGGCGATTTTGTGCTTCCAGGTGACGGTGAGGGACAACGGCAGGCCGCCTCTGTCGTCGACCACGAGGGTGGTCATCGAGGTGGCGGACGTTAACGACCACGGTCCCGAATTCGAGCAGAAGTTCTACACGGTCCAGATTCCGGCGTCGCCGGCGACCGACAAGCCGCTCTTCCAGGTAGAGATCTCTTCGGGTTTCTCGCGCGCGCTCTTCTCTGATGGAGCGAGGGGGTGGGGGGGGGGGGACTGTCCATTCATCCGCATTTCTTGTAAATACATTTCCACGCCGACGAATGGACCGGGGGCACCGAACAAAGGCGGTCGCGGGACGGCGACCCAAATCTCTCCCGTGCGATCCCGCTTTCTCCGTTGTCGCGTTGCCCGTGTAAAAAGCGCCCACCTTTGTGCGTCCCCGCTGTACATACCGCGCGTTATAATTGTTTTAATTCGCGATGCGGACGACGACGAGTCGTCTCGACGCGAGCCTGCGGAATTTCTATTCACGCCTCGCGCCGCCCCACTCGTGACTTGGACCCCGGGATTCGCGGATATTCCGCCGACGCACGCAATTCGCACGGAGCGCCGTGAAAACAAAGGGAGAGACGACACCCGGGCCTGACGTATTGTACCAACACGGAGCCAGACCTCTCGCGACTTCTCCTCCTTCTCCACCTCCTTCGCTTCTCGTTATCGTTTTCCCATCGGAGCCTTTCTCCTCCCGACGTATCTTGTCGATGATCAAAGTGATTCGTCACCGAGGGGAGGGGAGAGGTGTCATCGCATAGAAAGGGTAGATTTAGCTCGTGGAACCTAGCACGATCGTCATCCCACTTCGCTCTTTCATCTCTCTCTCTTTCTTTCTCTGTCGCTCTGTGTCTCTCTTTCTCCCGTAACCTTTGTGAATACGAAGGTGAACCTCCATGTGAACGTCGCACGTCCGCTGCAAACACGAGCATCGGCTGGAGGTCGGCCGGCGCAAATTAAATTACGAGGCGTCGCTGAAAACGGCGCGGACCTAATTGAAGACGAGAGAATTTACGACCTTGATCCAGGGGAGGATCAATACCTGAATACAGCGCGCTTACAATTAGGCACGGCCGCGAGACTTGGAAGTCGCGTGGAAGAAGAGTGCCCTTTCGATTGAATATTTCACCGTCTAATTGGCGCGGCGGGATAATTGAAAAACGCAAAGTACGTCGTGCCGTAACCGGTGTAGATAGCGTACAAAACGTGTTAATTTTCATTACCGTTATGTCGGTCGATCCTCACGCACGTGCACTATGTGTACACACACACGCGTGTGCGCGCGAGACGAATATTAATGTTATTTGTTCACAGCTATACCATATACACGTCCGGAATGCGTTTAATCTGCATCGCGTTGCGAGGAAACGGGAAAATACTGGAGGGGGGGGGGGGGAGGAAAGCGCTTTTTACCGCAGCCTGACAAGTGCGATGCGGACGCCGAATTTTCCGAAAACAAAGGCATTCGGCTTCGCATTACGAGACAACGCCCGCCGATCTCGTTGATAAAGAGATTAAGAGTAAAAAAATGCCGCGTCCACGCGCGCGCGCGCGAAATTAAAATTAAATAATCTCGCGACACGTGACGTCGCGGGGTAGGGGGTGGGCATTACGTCGACGTGAGGCGAGAACACGTGCGAGAGTAATTATGCAAAAATGTCGGGCCTCTCCGACTTGAAAGGGCGTGGGAGCGAAGTTTCGCGCGGCTTTATTACGTTGCTGAGCCTTGAATGGGCTTCAGGTTTTTCTCGGGCGACGTCGTCCGCGCCGTCGCGTCGGCGGGAGGCGGGGGACAAACGATCGAGGCGCGCGCGGATCCGTCGGAAGGGGAGAGGAAAGGGGTAAAAAAGAAAAAAAGAAATGGAAAATCGCCCGACAGGAACAGAGTCCCGAGGCTAAAAGCTTGTCCTCTCTGGTTTCCCGACAGAAATCGAGGAACCGCTCGCGGGAGCTCGACCTCTCGATCGATACGTTACTAGAGAACGGGACTTGGGAGACATTTAGCCCCGACACCTTGTCAGGAGATCGTATCTTCAGGGTAAGGACACCTTGGCACGTAAAGTAAGCGCCTGGCGCGGCGCAGCGCGCATACAATAGCTCTTATGTACCATGTTGTATTTGACTATACGCCGGATTATTTTCGTTTACACGCGCGAGCCAGTGCGCGCGTTGATTCACGAGCGCTTTTATGCCAATTGTTACATTTTAATTCACGTTTATAGCTACGTGTATATATTTCTCTCTCTCTCTCTCTCTCTATCTCTCATGCTACCGCTCCGTGCCCGTCGATAGGACGGCCACGTGTACACGCACTCGATCGATCGCACCTCGACTGGTCGCGCGTAATCGAATTACTTCCGGAAGCTAAGTGTAGCCGATAAAGGCTCGGCAGTTATTGCATAACGGCGAGGTATTTATATAGCGGCACTATTTTTTTTATTCGGTAATCAAGCTTCCGGCGCGCGCGCACGACCATTCGAGGGTCTAATTGAATGTTCTTCCCCATCCCGCGCACAATCTTTATGTACTATATGTATGTACATATGTATAACATTCTTGGCACTCTTGGCTGCAACCCTTTTCACCCCAGCGCCTGTCTCTCTCTCTCTCTCTTTCTCCGTTCCTCCTCCTCGCATCCCTCTCTCTCTTTATCTGATAATTCGTGCCTCTCTTGTGCTCGTCTATGTGTATTGCGCTCCTGAATGTTGCCTTATCGTACGACGCGAGGCTGCCGCCTGAGAATGTTCCGTTATCTTATCGCTGCTAATGATTGCACACCACCGAGGATCCTGCGGTTAGCGCGAGGATATCGGCCGCGCGCTCTGCGAGATTTTCCACCGGATCCCCGAGCTCTCGGCGCGGGGTCACTCGCGTTTCCCGTCGCTGCCCGGAGGCGACGGGAGGGATGCATCTCCCAGGAATCGTATTATTGCACACCGCGCGCGCGGCGTCCGCACGAGATAGATACGCGATCGAGAAGCGAGCGAGTGCGCGCGGCTGGAGGGAAATAGGGCGGAACGAGATATCGCGGATCGTATCTGCGCGCGTATCGTCTCGAGTATCGAACGTGGGCTCGAGAGACGGCAACAAATAACTCGGACACGATGCGTGTGCCGCGAGGATGCATGCGCCGTATGTAAAACGTCGAGAGCCCGGTCTCGAGGGAGACATCAAGCCTCTTTCGCTCGCGCGCGCGCGCGAGACGAGTAATTAGTCGAGTTTATCGCGCCCTCGATTTCCCGTTTTCCCGCGCCGAGGAGGATGCCGGGGGAAGAAACGCGAGATCGCCGTCAGTGGACCAGTCGGCGGTGTTACGTATAGCACACGCGGGAGAGAAACGCTCGAGCCCGGAAGGCGCGAGATACAAAAGTCGGGGGTTAAGGGGACCCTAAAGCCGTCTGTTTTGTCGACATTCTTTGTTAGAAGTAATCTTTTAGTTGGCTTTATAGAAATGCAAAGCTCTTTCACGGAATCAAAGTACGCGGCAAAATCTAGACTACACTGGTCGACTTTATATCAAAAACGAAAAAAAATAAAAAATTTTAGGTACACTACTTTTAGGTACACTATTTGCTCGATACAAGAATTCTACAACAAATATATACAAATGAGACCAATATACTCTAAGGACAACATATAGGAGCAATATCGAGCAATTAGAACTAAGATTAATAGCCTAGAAAAAGATTACTTCTAATAAACGCGAGTCCAGCAATCCTAGTCTAGAAGAAGTGAAAAAGAGCAGCAGGCTTTTTCGAGAGCGGTCGCTGCCAAACATCTGTCAGATTGTCAGTACAGCCATGCTAGAATTTGATCCAAAATCTCGGTTTGAGCAAGGTGTAGCTAATAAAATTGCTGCTTTCTCGTAAAAGTTGCAAACTGATTGGCCATAAATTTCTCGGACCGAGTAGAACTTGGAATTAAAAATGTCGATGATCGACGTTTTCAATTCCGTCTCCCATTTTGTCGACACTGATCGAGTTCGCCAGCTGCTTTAGGATCCCCTTAACAGCCGCGAACAAGGTGCTGCAGAGACATACAGGGCAGTATGACGGGTTGCTTATTCGCACGGACGCGCATGACCGTTTACAACTGCGTGGGCTTCGGCACGAGAGTAGGTTTTCGCCAACGGTAGGTTTTCCCAAGCGAAACAAGTCACGAAGGAGTATAAATGACATCGTAACGATTATCAAAAGTCATATTTTGACAGATAGTTAATCAAATTATGATTTTAAAATGCGCGCCCGCGCTAATAGACAACCCGTCACACAGCCTTGTATGTTTCTGCAATGCCCCTGTACACGCCGGACTCGTCCGTCTCGCCCACAGATGGCTATGTACTAGACCGCTACCTTCGAGCTGAAAAGTGAGGCAAGAGTTCCGCCATGTGTGTCACTGCCAGACCGGTGTACACATACTTTATTTCCCTAATAAGACATGGCGGAACTCTTGCCTCACTTTTCAGCTCGATGGAGCAGGTTTGGTAGTGTACAGAAGTCTGTGGTCTCACCGGGAATAACGCGCGAATACATTCGCGGCAGCGCGCGCATCCTCCCGTGCAACGGTTTCCGTTTCGCTCGGCTACCCTGCGCGCTCTCTTTTTCTCCCCGAGTCCGCCGCGCAACCCGCGATCGCGATCGTTAGCACGCTTGCGGCGCACCGCCAGATAGACCGGAGGAGCCTGCTGCTGCATCTTGCCATCACCATAGTATAACTCACAGGCTTCTATATACTACTAGACTGTTACCTTCGAGAGCTGAAAAGTGAGGCAAGAGTCCGTCATGTCTTGTTAGGTAAATAAAGCGGTATGTATGCATCGGTCTGTCAGTGACACACATACTGCTTTATTTACCTAACAAGATATGGCGGAAGTCTTGCCTCACTTATCAGGTCGAAGGTGGTATTCTAGTAGTTAAGTAGTACATAGAAGTCCGTGGTATAACCATAGTATAACTAGTGCGCCCACTCTGTCATTTGTCTTGTTTTGCGTCGATCCTTTCTGCGCATCCGCCATTTTTTTGGTGGAGCCAATGAGACGGATGTTGTATATGTGGTAGTGTGAAATCAGTGTGACAGGATTTTATACCAAAAACGTGGCGGAACACCGCGTGATCGAAACCGAAAAGATCAAAGGGTCGACAGAGAGTGGGCATACTAGTTATACTATGGTATAACTAGTAAACCCACTCTGTCATTTGTTTCACTTTGCGTCGACCCCTTCCGACATTGTTCTGGGCAGACCAATGAGAGAAAAGTCGCATCAAAGTTACACTATCACGTATACATAAATAATGGCCAAAATAATGGCGGCGTGCCACGTGATCGGGACCGAACAGATGAAAGGGCCGACAGGGAGTGAACATACTAGTTGTACTATGCTATTCATCGACAATCTCTTAGCTCTGTCTCGATGTACCGCATGCGGATTATGCCACATTGCGCGTTCCGATCGAAGACTCGTTGTTCTCCGCGAGACACGTTGCGCGAGCTGCATCCGCCTCTGTCTCTCGCGAGCCTGAGTGTGCATTTTGCGTCTAGAGGATTGCAGGAAGAAGCGTCTCTTTTATTTGAGGGCTTTTTTTAAAGGGATACTTCCGTACCGACACGGGCCACCTTTATAACCTTTTGCAGGACTGTTTACGTTAACCCTCCGTCTGAACACGTGGGAGACCGAACCAAAGTAAACCCAAAGTTAAGAACTTTTTGAATAAAGTATTCACGAAAGAAATTAAAAGGAAATTCAGCTCGTACAATTCGATGCAAATTGAGTACTACTTAATTATTCGTGTCAATTATTAGAGAGGAGGCAAAATAAAATGGTGGAGGAAAGTCCCCTATTATAAGACAGCGAGTTCTCAACATCCAATTTCACAAATCTTTTTCGCAACAATTACTCGCACGATCCAACAATGCGTTCTCCACTAAACAGATTTCATTCCAAGGGCAATGAATTCATAGCGGCACCAACAGATGATGTCTATTAATTTAGCGGAAATCCCGCTATCTCATATTAGGGGATTCTTCTCTATTCAACTTTTTATAGTAGCTCGTATAGTTGGACCCTCTCTCCCTTAATTTTTAATAAACGATATTCATCGAAATGACTACGACATTGTCAACTACAACGTAGGTGGTTTATGCATTTCCTCAGACTTTGTGAATATTTTAAGGGAACCCTTCGGCTACCTTTTTTACCGACGCAGTCAAATATAGTTTTTGTGCTTGTAATTCTTTTTATTGGCTTTTACGCACAAAATAATACCAGGATAAGTTGCGGACCGCATAGCAGAACATTTTCGTACTTAAAACGCTCAGTTCAGAAGTCCAATAAAAAAGAAATTGGCATTTGAAATTGTCAATTCGTAGTTTGTACTAAATTTGGAATTGGCTTTAGAAAACTGCAAAATTTTTCCACACGATTAAAGTTCGTATAAAGACAAAACCAGGGACAGTCGACTTTACATAAAAAGCGAAGAACAAATAAAAATTTCACTTCATAAGTGATTGAGGTTAGCTCCCATACAACACAAAAGCTTGCAACAACATTGCCGCAAGATTGCAACATTGCATCTTGCAGTGTAATGGTATATAGATATTGCAGACATTATTTTACAATATTACTTTAGTAATGTTGTAGCAATATTATTTTAAAATATTGATACATTTATGTTTGTACTATGTATATTGTTTCGTCATTTCACTTTTATAGTTTACTAGAAATGACAAAACGCGCGTTGCGCGCGCGCAGTTTGTAGTTCAGCATTGTATATTTTTAAGAATTGGTATACATGCAAAGAGAAGTAATTGTATGCGCAACGTCAATTTAAAATGAAAAGTAATTTTTCACTCACTGATACGACTCGCAACAGCACAGTTGTACATCGTCAACTAGGTATATATGTTAAACTGTAACAATACAAATATGCATATGATTATAGACTAATCATATGTAAAATTGAAATTATTGTATCAAATATACTTTATGTTTTATATTTAAAAAATAGGCATTTATTAAAATAATTATATAGAATGCTGAAAAAGTTTTCCTTTTAAATATAAACTGACAAAATTTTATACGTATGGTTTTGTCTCTAACACTTATTCGAATTCTTGTTCGATTCATTTGACTAAATCAAATAAAAACACCGAACAGATACTTTATTTCGCACAAGTAACAGATAACATAAAAATGTAATAAGACACATACCTCACCGTTTCTCCGCCGTTGCCCGATGCCTCCTGGGCCTGCTCCTCTCAGATTTCCTTGTTGCACTCACACAACACTCGCGAAAATCATCGATCGCGCGAAATTTCGGACACTCCCGTACGCGATGTGACATACCGCGAAACGCACGAAATGCCATTAACAAATAGGTATCGCGTGACTTTCTATCATACAAATTACTCAAATTAACAACTTGCATTTTTGATTCGGAAGAATGGATAAATCACTTTTGAATTGGCGATATAAAAGACAACACAAGCATCGGAAGCATAATCTGCGTAAAGAAGTAGTTATTAGTCCGTAACGAAACAATATTTTACAATCTTTGTCATTTAATCTAATCCTTGAAACAAAATCGATAGACAATTAAAAGCGCGGTGCGTAAACGAGATGTAACCGCGACAAAATACCACGGTTTACATTTATAATTTAGATGAGTTAGTTTCGTGAAATTTCTATACGTTGATAAAGAGCCGTCGTCGCTTCAACACGCAATTCGTTTCTCATTACAAGTTGTAGAAACTTAATAATTAATCGAAGAACGTTAATTGTTACTAATAAAGGTGTGCAAATCCATAGCGTTTTATCCCTGCATTCGTCGCGATCGAGTCTTGAAAACCGATAACGCAAAAGTAACACCACGCACGGAGCGACTCTCGCCACTGCTTGCCGGCTCGACGTTCGGCGAGCGAGTGAAGCGCGGCGACCTTCAGGTAAACTTTGGCCCGCGTAACCTCGTACGATACCGCGCCGAGTGAAAAACAACAAAAAACATTGAGAATTCGTTGTCCCGCCTACGAAATGGAAAATTCCGTACTTAATATTTTACATTACTTTGTTCCGTGACTGTTACTACGTTTTGTGTATCATTCTGCGGACTTATTGGTACCGATTAAATAGACGATTAATTCTGTTCAATCGAGAAAATGTATCGGAACAAAAATCATTGTTACTTAAATTCTAACTACTAAGACTAGAGATTTTACCTCTACAGTTGGTGTATACAAATGTATATTTCTAAATTGCAAATCTTCATTTACTATGAATTTAAAAGAGAAGTGAAGCACACCGCGCTTCGAGGAAACATATATTATGCATGCATTATATTGCTATGTTGCTGTAATATTACATTGTAATATTTCTGGAGGCGGACATTTTACCGTTGCTGCAGCATTGCAGCAACATTTCGCAGCGTTTAGGCAATGTTGCAATCTTGCGATAAATTATTGCTGCAATGTTGCTGAAACCTTGCTGTGCTGTATGGGCTAACTTATCTAATTGAAAATTTCAAATACCAATTTCTTTTATGAAAATGTTCTGCTATGCGGTCCGTAACTTATTCCGCTATTATTTTGTGCACAAAAGCCAATAAACAGAATTACAAGTGCGAAAACTATATTTGACTGTGTCGGTAAAGAAGATGACTGAGGGATCCTCTTGAGGCGAGGCAAACAGCTGGCGTCGAACGCGATAGACCCACGTTCATTAGAGAGTACCGAAAAAACGTGTTCAGTTGGAGGATTACGCAACGCTGGTTACCGTCTTCGGGATATGTTCATTCTCGTTCGCAGCATTTTCTCTTGGCGATAGATTATACGAAGTATTAACGTTTCTTTTCCGTGCCGGACGAGTTCCCGTCGATGGTTTGATCGTGACGTAATGGCAGCGGGATAACTCTCGAAATTTACGTTTAGGTTCTTGCGTACGACAAAGATATCGGCGACAACGGGAGAATCCAGTATAGCATCAAGGGCGGCCGGGGAAAGGGCAAGTTTAAAATTCACCCCACCACGGGGATGGTGTACGCCCAGCGTGGACTCGAGCCTGGTCAAGAATACGAAATGATGGTAATCATTTTTTTTTAATTAAAAACACTTTAGTGGCCCACTGTTTTATTTATTGGAGCACGAAAGAGCGATCTTGTTGTGTAATCGAAAACAGAATTTCAGAGTTTAATCGTTGAAAATGAAAATCGTGCGCGAGACAAGTTATCGCATGTAGTGTGAAATAATTGCCTTCTGGCACTCGCGAAATGCGAATTTTGCCAACTGTGTTACAACCGTGGCGTACATTTCTGTCTCTCTCGTGGAAAAAGAGACCTTCAAGTGTAAAGACCAAATAATAATTAAAAATGTAACACGCAATTGTCCCTGTAAAGTAGCGTCGAGTTACGTGACAGTTGGCGCGAAGAAATACGAAGGCGGGAAGAAATCGGCATAAATTTGCATCGTATTATATCACGTTGGATTTCGGACCCTACGATGCTATAGCGTACATTCATACCCGATATCCCCGCAATGTAAACTCAATTTGAATGGGAGTTTCCACGCGCTTGTACGTCCCGCAGATACGAGCGGCCGATCACGGCGAGCCCCAGCGTAGTCATCAGACTCGAGTTTCCATTCAAGTTGCGGATGCGCCGAAGGAATCGGAGAATCCTCCTGTGTTCAAGACAAACAATCAAAGTGTGGAAGTCACGGAGAGCGACGAGGCGGGCTTTTTGGTCGCCCTCGTGCAGGCTAGCGACAGAGACGGCGATTCTCTGTGGTACGATATCTTAGGTAAGAACGAATACGCATTTTTCACGACGGTCCAGGACTTCCCTGGTGAATCGTTGCGTTCTTTATTGTCCCCGTGCTAAAAATACGATCGGTAATCTAACTTTCAATTTTAAAGTTTCGTAAACGCAACGATAAGGGTGTACATTTATTAAAGGCGGTTCGTTCGATCGGATTTCTTGCTAGATATATTTCTTAAATATTGCGCTGCCGCGTATTCACGATGGGATTTAAGTGCCTGGAGATCACAAGGGTCGTCCTGAATTCTACCGACACGTTTTAGACGGCGACAAGCGCGACGAGTTCTTCATCGGGCGCGACAACGGTAACGTGCTGCTGGCCAAGAGGCTGGACTGGGAGGTCCAGAACTTTTACAATCTCACGATCGGCGTAACTGACGGCGTGCACACGACGCTGACGCAGCTGCTCGTTACGGTGATCGACATCAACGATCACCGGCCGGAGTTCACCGAGAGCACGTATCGCGTCGACATCTCGGAGAACGTCGAGAAGGGCGAGAGGATTCTGCAGCTGCACGCGACCGACGAGGACGAGGATAAGAAGGTCTTCTACAGCCTGCACGCGGCGCAGACCCAGGCTTCGCTCGGGATCTTCCACGTGGACTCGGTCTTAGGCTCGATTACGTTGAACGAGCCGCTCGACCGGGAGACCATCGAGGAGCACGTGCTGACGGTGATGGTCAAGGATCAGGGCACGCCAGCCAAGCGCAACTACGCCCGAGTGATCGTCACCGTGCACGACCACAACGACCACGCGCCCGAGTTTATCAGCGAGATCATTCAGGGCAAGGTGTACGAGAGCTCGCCGATCGGCGCGGCGGTGGTGCAGGTGTGCGCCATCGATCGGGATCGCGGCGAGAACGCCAAGATCACCTACTCCATCACGTCCGGCAACGTCGGCAACGTGTTCACCATCGACCCGGATCTCGGTTTCATCCGCGTCGCGCGCGAGCTCGACCTCAGCGTCTCCTCCGAGTATATCCTCCTCGTGAAGGCGACCGATCACGGCTCGCCCGCGCTGGCGAACACCGTGCCGGTGCACGTGATGGTGACGATGGCTGACAACGCGCCGCCGCGCTTCATTCAGAAGGAGCTGTCCGCGGAGATATACGAGAACCAGCAGCTAGGCACGTACGTGAAGCACGTGGAGGCGCGGAGCACGTCGTCGTTGCAGTTCGAGATTATGCGCGGCAATCGCGACGACACGTTCTTCGTGAATCCGAGCACCGGCGTGATCGTCATCAAGAATCAGCTCGACTACGAGAAGACCAAGTTCTACAATCTTACGGTGTCGGCGACGAATATGGCCGGCGCGTCCGCCACCTGCAACGTCATCGTCCACGTGCTCGACAGGAACGACAACGCGCCGCGTTTCCTGCAGGCGCGGTACAGCGGCGAGATCAGCGAGGGTGCCAGCATCGGTTCCCTCGTGTTGACCAACACGAGCGCGCCGCTGGTCATCAAGGCCGAGGACGCGGACTCCGAGCTGAACGCGCTGCTCAATTACGACATCGTCGAGGACCTACCGCGAAAGTACTTCCACATAGACTCCAGCACCGGCGCCATACGCACGGTCATGTTGCTCGACCACGAGACCATACCCGTGTTCTCGTTTCACGTCAAGGTCTCGGATCTGGGCAAGCCGAAGCTCTCGTCCGAGACCACCGCCAAGGTGACGATAGCCGTGACAGATGTCAACGATTGCCCGCCCAAGTTCTCCAGGACTGATTACAATGTCACGCTTCTGCTGCCGACGTATAAAAATGTAGCCGTCACTCGGGTGAACGCCGTGGATCCCGACAGCTCGGAGGGAGCCGCGTTGAGGTACGTGCAGAAATGTCAGTTGGGCTTTCTAGCTGTCAGGATCCGCGTTTGTATCTTGCGCTGGGTATTAGCTGTAGATTTACTTTGTAATAATAATTGCATCTCGTTGAATACCATTTCTATATTGGAGAGAGACAAATTTCGCGGGTCCGCGGATTAAACACAAAATTCTTCAATCTTGTTAATTGTATTATTATAGTTTCCCGAGTTACTTTTCACATATGACTTATCTGATGAATCTTATGTTCAATATTAGCTGTGGATTTCGTTTATAATAATTACTGCATCTCGTCGAATACCATTTTTACGCTGGACAGATAAATCCTCGCGGGTCCGCGGATTTAAAAGAAATTCTTCTTCAATCTTGTTAACTGTATTATTAAGTTTCCCGAGCTACTTTTTACACGTGACTTATTTGATGGATAACGCGCTCCGTATTTGTCTAGATATGACATCATCGACGGCAATAAGGCCAACACCTTCGATATAGACGCTCAGAGCGGCATTATTACGGTCCATAATCCAGAACGTATGAAGAAGAACTACCTGCTCCACGTGCGAGTGTCGGACGGCAAGTACTCGAGCGTGGCGCAGGTGAACGTGATGGTGGAAAAATCGGAGAATTCTGGCCTGATCTTCCAAAGGAGCGTCTACGAAGGCGCCATCCTGGAGAACTCTACGAAGATCGCGACCGTGGTGGTGGTGAACGTTCTCGGTAGTTTGCTGAACGAGCACATCGTCTTCAGCATTCTCAATCCCACCGATATGTTCGTAATCGGGCCGACCTCCGGCGCGATCAGGACCAACGGTATACGATTCGACCGGGAGGTTTGCGACCACTACGAATTAATCGTCGAGGCGAAGAGCCACCCGCCGGATCGGGAGAAACCTCGGGTGGCTCATGTCATAGTGAACGTCACTGTACTCGATATTAACGACAATTGTCCGATGTTCGTTAATTTGCCCTACTACGCTGTCGTCTCCGTCGACGCTCAGAAAGGCGACGTCATTACGAAGGTAGGCGAATCTTGTTTTTCGATGCACGAATGATATATATTTCTTTTCAAACTTCGATCTTGCGTACATGGATTCCGAACGGCTCGCTTTCGTCACTCAGGTTCACGCGATAGACATGGATAGCGGTGATAACGGGGAGGTGAGGTACGAACTGAAGAAGGGCCACGGGGAGCTCTTCAAGGTGTGCCGGAAAACCGGTGAGATATCGTTGAAGCAGAACCTCGAGGGTCACAATCGCGAGTATCAGCTCACGATCGCCGCGTATGACGGCGGTAAGTTTGTTAAAGTCAATAACACGTTTTCCGCTTAATCTCGTTTTAAATGAGCTTCTAAATATGATTGCAGGAATAACGCCGTGTTCCATTGAAGTGCCAGTCAACGTGAAGGTGATAGATCGCTCGATGCCAGTATTTGACAAGCAATTCTACACGGATAGCGTGCTCGAGAGTATAGAAGTACATTCACCTCTGGCGTTATCCATTCAAGCTGAGTCACCTCTGAATCGCAAACTCATATACAGTATTACTAAGGGCAACGATTTTGAGGAGTTTGCCCTGGACTTCAACACGGGTGAGTAAAATAGATTCTCGTGACATAGATTTTCGGGCATGCGCTATCGGGCGACAAACGAGAACACGTTAGTAAATAATTTCGTATGAGATAGTAACGTAAAAATTGTATGATACAGTAATGAAAAAAGTAGAAGCGTGTAAGAATTGGCGATGTTGTTTCTTACTTATTAGCTGCGCAGCAAGAAATATTGTAAACCCAATTTTTCTTATTTAAAGATTCTTTTCCGTCAATAAAAGTAGCGAAAATGTTCCATGTTCGGGGCCCTTTTTATCGAAACTGTATGAACGTTACGTAAAAATTGGATATCAGGCCAGACATGATCCGAATAAAACGTTCCCCTTTTTATTTTCGTAACTTGGCTATGGGACTTACACTGTTGAAACTACAGAAAGGTTTCTTATGATATATTGCTAGTATGGCTATCTTTAGTAAACTCGTAAGTTTTGCTGCATTATGGTAGTTGGTTACTAAGTTCTAATTGCGTAACATATTGGTGAATTAGGGGAAGATGGAGAAATCGCGGAAACACAATAACTCTAATCGTGAGATATTAAAAATTGATTATTTTGTCACGCGTATTAAAAGATTTAAGTTGATCAGCGCCGATTCTGCGTTATCCTATTTTACATTCCTCTTTATTTAATCGTATTTGGCTTTCCAACGAATACGCCTTTCGATTATATATTTTCAGTAGCTGTTCGTATTTACGGTTTTTCCATGGTAGATTGTTGAATTGTACTGAGATCATGATACTTGTTCCATATGTATTTCTTACAACTGCTTGTGTCTGGAAACTAGAGATTAAAGTCTTGTTGTATCTCCCTGTTTCGCAGCCCCCGACAGTAACAATGGTCCTTGTGAGTATACAAAAATTCTAGCTCTATCGGTCTATGCTGTGTTGCCACGCTATGTTATACACCGCTCTGTGTTCATGCACGATGTAATATCGCAGGCAGATCGCCGCAGTTTCGCCGAGCAGATTGAAACAATGCGCTAGCAACGAAATTGAATTTGGATAAATCTGAGATTCAATAACTAAACGGGAGCAGCTTGTGTTCCGACTCGATAGCACTCGAGTGCAATGTAGAACTTCCAGATTTGAATTTCTTACTTGCTCTTCAGTCTCGAAGGTGTCTTACATATTTATGTAATTCTACTACGGAGATATCTGTCGTGCGAGACTTTCAAAGAACGAAGTCGGTTATCTCTGGATTCACATTTCAACGATTGATTATTATCACGTTATGCTCAACGTGACATCGCAGTTTTAATCTTAAACCTTCAATAGAAAATGTAATTAACAGTTATATATATACATAAATATATATGTATATATATGTATATATATAGATACGCTTATCAATTGCTGCAGTGCTTGATTGAATTTCCAATTAACATTTTGATCGATGCAAATTATTCAATTATCTTATGCAATTACCATAACAACACGCCGACATGTATGCACAGCCCATTCTCTCTTAGAATATACATAATATACATTGTGTTTCTGAAGTGGTACAATCAAAACTAAAATGATTCCTCGTGAAAGGCTCAAAGATGTAGAACAGAACGACTTTTTTTTTATACGCAACTTTGTTCTCACGAAGAATCACGTCACTTTCGCTTCTGTTGTCACCTCGGAAATTGCATATACAATACATGTGTTCGTTTAAATGTGTTCGTTCGCCGCTACAAACGCGAATATGCATCGATCATCTTTATGAACTTTGCATAACATTTCGTATCTTCCAAATTATATTCGGCATGTTTAGTTTTACGTTTCGTCCGCACCTTCCGATTCCCACCAACTAATTTCGATTACATTCCCAATATTGCTCGTAACACTTAATTAGACGTATTAATCGCACGATACTACGCCACAGTGGAAGTAACAATAAAAAGTGAACGGTGCGATTTATTGACACAGTTTGCTGGCTTACAGCGTGAGCTTGTTGCACGCCCTCGCGGCAGGTCAACGTTTACGAAGACGAAGTTTTCCGAGCCCTTTCAATTAAAAAGATTATAATATCCGCTCCCGAGGGTGCCCTCTCCTCTCCTCTATAAACCGCTTTTTGGCCGTGTACATCACATCCACAAAATTAATTTCGTTCCTGCTCCCCCGTTTTTCCACGATCGTAATCTGGGCGGGTCTCATTAAATTGTAATCGCGATGGAACCACACGAAACCGGCTTGGAGCACAATAGCTGCTTACACGCACTATCGTTCCACGATCCAGGGCCAGTCTAGACACATCATAAATATTTCGCCTGGATGTGAACGTGCGGCCCACCCATTTTCATTTTCTTCACGAGATTTCAATAGCTTCAACCTGCCCGTATGTCGTGCCTGCACCTTACGTAAGGCAGATCGCTATTATTCTATTCCATTTTCCAGATTATTTCAGAATTTATTTAATAAGAGTCGCGATACGTCGGCGCGATACGGACGCACGGTGTGAAGTTTTGACGTTTATCTCTTAGGAGGTGCGGGCATTATTACAGGCATTGGCAAATCATTCGTGGAATCCCTGACTTGTTTTATGTGAACATGATTACACGCGCGATTGCATTCATTCGCATCTTCCAGTGTCTACAGATCCGTCGGATTAATATCGTCGAAATGTGTAATAGTAAATTTAGCTGATTCTGAATTCACCAAATTCCCCGCGGAGAGAATTTTCTCTTTAAATTTATCCTGAAAATCGTATGATCGTGGGACAACACGGCATTTTGAAGAACTTTATGAGAGTTGTTAAAATTTTACCATACATTTTACTAGTAAAATAAAAATTTATTATGAAAATCATGTAATCGTTGGACAACATGGCATTTCGAAGAAGTTTATGAGTTTTCGGAATACAGTTTACTACT